GTGCCAGGTGTTTTTGCCAGGACAACTTCACTGGTGAATGCATGTATATGAGACTGGAAAAACAAAGAGACAAGATGTTATGAGGAGGCATGGCACTGTCATATTTAAGGACCCATGTGAGGTAGAAGGAAAGGTACCTTTGATTTTTATATGTCATTATATCAGGACCATGTTGAGGTAGAAACATTTCCATGGTAAGGCAGAATTCTGAAAATAAATATGGGGTTAGGAGGAGTAAAGTTATGAGAGGTGATTACTCCCCCATCTGAAAGGGTAAAAGTTAAGAGGGTAAGGTGTGTCTCTGGTATGCATGACGTAGGAGCCTTTAGGAAATGCTGTTGGGAGTTCTGCTGTGAAAAAAGGATAAGAAATTAGAAACCAAATTGGATAACAAAACATGACAGCCTGAGAGTTGTGGTTGTGAGGCCTTGGTGAAATGGAGATGAGTAGGCAAGAGGATGGTTAGATCTAGGGCTGGAAGGGCACTTCTTAGCCTGAGTGATGTGAAACCAGGATGGCATTCTAGCAACTTTGATCACTATTGAGGTTGCCAAGAATATCAGGTATGGGTTGCTGAAACCTGGTTGTAGTCCTTGGAATGATTTGTTATAACAGGACTTTAGCAAGTATATCAGCAGTCTCCCTGGTTGTGTGAAAGGCTTTTATGTATCCTGAAAAAGTATAAACAAAGTGAGAAGACAAAATTTATCTGTCAGTCTTGACCAGGGTTGTCTGAAAAATTGGTGAATAAGAAAGGAAGGGGGTGGTTTATATCACTGAGGAGAGGTTTATTAGCGATAACAAGTGTAAGCTGTTGAGACCTCAGTGTCTCTAGGTCAGTCTGTGTAAACACAAGGGAATAAAAAGCATTTTTAAGATTTAGGACTGTAGAATGAGTGGTGGAGGGATGATTTGGCACCACTGGGTAGTCTGGGACCTGCACGAAATAGGCCCTTTTTGTAAATGGCATAGGTTGGCTGTCAATACCCCTAGAGGCTGAGGATTTAATATAGCAGCCTGGAAACTCAGGAAGAAGTCTGTACATATGGCCTCTATGTCCGCAAATACAGAGAATGTCTTACCGGAGACTTTTAGTGGGACTTTGGACTCTGAGACAGACACCTTAAAGTAGACTGCTGTTGGCCCTGAGCCCTGTCAGTCTTCAGCAGGAAGTTTAAGCTGATCTGTCGGCAATGAATCTGGCAGTGTTGGCATTTCCTGTGAGGGCTAGAAGTTAGGATGGCTTACCCACTATCTGGTGGCTAGAACAGTTTAGTAACCCTGGGGTAAGGTCTCAAAGGAATGCCAGGATGGGGCACTGTCTTGCCCAACATCTTCTGCTGCATTTGATGCATGGTCCATGGGGGGCCCAGGAAGCTCCACTTTGTGTCAGTTTACCTGTCTCAGAACTCCAAGTGTCACAAGTGTTATCTCTGTTGTTGAAAATATGAAGAACCATATTAAGGTCTCTACAGGTTTGAAGGTCAAGTTTTGCCTTTTTGTTTGGGATTTGGACTACATTAGAAAGTATCTGTAGAATTCAGTAAGTATGCAAGAGTTAAATATAATCAACAGGGTATTTATAAATTTAGTAATGGCTTCTCATAAGGAGGAGAGGTCTAGAGAATTTTAGGAACTGACATGTAATTTATGTCATATATAAATATTTCTTTATGTTATTAAAATGTCTAATGCCATCTGATTTTTGGAGGATGGCCTGTTTAATTAATTTTTACCTTTTTATTTAGGAGAGAAATCAGCTACGGTGTTATTTAATATCAGTTGAATATAGTTAATTATGGCTTGGTGGAGGGCTGACCCAGGGCAGGCAGATAGGCTGGGAAAGGTTTAAGTTTGGCTTCTGCCACACTTTTGGTCTTGTTGTTTTGCATATATCATATAATCCTTGTCTTGGAAAAGAGCTAGTGGTTCCCAGCAAAAGGAATTTATAATTACCTCTTAATTTTGGTTGTTAAACATTTAGGAGATTGTTGAAGGCTTTAATTGATAAACAAGGCTGGTAAAATTACTAGGTGGCCACTTTTCCATTTATCAGCCAAAGTCTTGTCTATTGTTGGCTTATTTAACCTTGATTAAATGGTCTGAGAATGTAAAAAAATAGCATCTCTGAGCCGAGCTGCAGAGCTGCTGTTTATCTGTGTTTGTGGTCTGGTGCTTTTGTTTGGGAGATATGCTTATTTGGGAGACACACAGCACCTAAAGCAGGATGGAACTCTGAGCCTGGGTGGGGCGCTCCAGGGTGGGGGTGGCACACACAGAGTAAAGGTGGGGTGAGCCCAGGGCATAGCCTGTGAGGCGGGGTGGGACTGCCCCCAGAAACACACGCAAGGCAGAGGTGACAAAGGCAGCAGCAGTGGCAATGGTGGGCACCCAGCACACGGGGCCAGAGCTGGGAGGTGGATTTGGGATGTGGCGTGAAGCTGAGACCTTACACGCTGGCAGACTGACACAGAACTGAGCTGCCACATGGAGCCAAAACTGCTCGTGGGGTGTGTGGATTAGGGCATGGTGTTAGAGCCAACCCCCTCAGACCCAGAGTGTGGCATGAGAGCCAAGATACCACGTGGAGTTGGGGTGTGGCGTGACAGTTTAAAGCAGTCCACTTGTATCTCTTAACACTGTTTTGGGCTGGAGCGCGGCATGAGAGCTTAAAGCAGCCCGTGCATATCTCTCAACACTGTTTAGACACACCTCTGCCTTCTCCTCGAGGAATGGGTCAGTGTACACAGCAGTGGGGAGGGAGGAGGAGGCAGTGAGGAAACAAAAGGGGATGCTGGTGGGAAAGGACACACATTCTCAAAACAAAGGCTTAAAGATAGAGAGTTTTGTAAACTTGTCGTCCGTGTGATAAGTCATAGATAGGTATGGCTCTTTTGGGGGGTGACAGGAAGTGGTCCCCAAGATAAAATCTGGTGTGGGGTCTGGCCCATGGAGTTATAGCCAGATGAGGCAATGGACCATGGTCTACTAAGTGTAAGTCATCACTTTTTACTTATTTTAGACCAATCGGTATTATATGTTTCCAAACCTCATAATAATTGGCAGTCACCAGTATACAAGTGGATATCTCGTGGGTTTTAGTAACTGTTCTGCCCATGAGAACTTAAAAAACTCTGAAGGATGTGAAAGTCTCCAGTGTGGACACAGGCTGGCCCAGGAAAACTCTGCCTTGGGCTATCTCAGGACATGAGACCATCACTGGAGCCCACGGAAAGGGGGAGAAAACCTGCCTGGGGCCTGGCCCAGTGGCAATCTCTGGGGGTTGCTCACCTGGGGTAAATTGGGTCAGTGTTGTTTGCAAACCAGCGGTGACAAGTTTACAGCTCCCAAGTGTAGAAGTTTGGAATTAATGCAGGATGTGGTCTGGTCCTGGTCCTGAACGGCAGGGGACTCAAACTGGGAGGGCCCCAAGAATCTCTTGTCTGCCGTTGCTGTGGGGGAAGGCGGTGGCTGAAAAGATAAGAAGTATGAAATATAAATGACCTTTATTTTGAGAATGCAGGGAGACAGGCCTGATCCTCTGGGGTGCAGCACCTTCCCCTGGAGTCGGCAATCTCTCTGTGGAACACGTGGAGTGGGGGCATATAAGTAGCCTAGGTTTGGGGTGGAACCTAAGAGGCATTAGTGATGCACGGGTATTCCACTGGCACTAGTTTGGCACCAGAGGTAAATTCCTAGGGGTGGGGAAGGTACAGTCACAGGTAAATTCCTAGGGGTGTGGGAGATGGAGTTCCTTGGTTCCGCCTGGGGCTTTACTGGCTACAGTGTCCTGTCTGGGCCAAAACTCTTTCAGATATATTCTCACATTCTGCAAGTTTTTCAAAATATGTTGAATGTTTTCCTTGCGTGCTTCTCTGAAGATGTTTCCACTGGCGAGTTTTACAGTTTCCAAATACTCATGCCCTCTTTTCTGGGCTATAAAAAGATAATTACTGATCAAAAAATAGAAGCTCCAGAAACACACGCAAAGACACGTTTGTCTTTTTTAGTTCAGTGAGGGTGAAACTTCTGATCGCTGCTTAGGCCAGGCTCACACCCCTCCTCATCCTGAAGCAGCAACAACAAAATAGATCTTCAGCATTCTCTCTCTTTCCCTCCCTCTCTCCCATTATTCTTTTCTTTCTTCCTTCTTCCCTTCTTTCTTGCTTCCCTTTTAGACTTTCTGAAATAATGTTTCAATGTGTAGGTGAGGGTGGCTTTGAATTCACTGCTTAGAGGACCAGGATTGTCTTTAGCTTGCCGTGATCCTCCTGCCTCAGTTGCCTGAGTCCAAGAATTTCAGGAGTGCTCCCTCACACTCACCTTCTTTTCCATCTCTGAACAATAAAGGATATAAAACTCTGGGGGTGGGATGAAGTAGGACAGAATAAAGGTAGCCACTCCCAGAAAGGTTACAAAGAACATCATAATTTTAAACATAAAGATGGCAGGTTCAAGACAGGCCAGGGTTTCTGTTGTTGTTATTTGTTTGTTCTATTTTTTCCTGATACACAGTAAGCCTGGACAATTTTTTTAATGCATATAGTCCCTTTCCATATTCTTACCTGTGAATAGATTAACTTTTTCACTTATGAATAGCCTTTTTATGTTTCTGTGGGTAAGCCATTCTTTTTCTTCTTTTTCCATAAAGTAGGTCCTAATATAGATTTTTCTATACAGCCCCGCTCTCTTGAGAAAAATATAAATATTTAAGAATTTGAGGCATTATGTGCCTTTCTCTCATGCAGTACTGCACTCTATTTCTTTGTACACTTTTCAATTTCTGCTTAATACATTCCTTTATGTCTCTTTAAAAAATAAGAAACTTCTATTTAATTTTCTCCAGATATTCCTTGGTAAGCTGTGTCACACTACATGTCTTTAATACATTTTGGATGTATCACATATTTTAAATAATTCCTCTGCACCATTCACTTAAACTTTCAATGCTTGCAAACGTGTATTCTAAGTACACTGAAAGCTTACTTCTTGTGTTGTAGGTCTTCGAATTTCAATTGACTTCTGAGGACATGAAAGTGATAGATGGCCTGAACAGAAACTTGAGATATCTTCCTGCTGAGTTGTAAGTAATTTTGAAGCATACTGTTGTAGTCCCCCAAAAAGGCCTTGAGATGAAAAACGGGGCAAGACAACAGCATTTTTGTTTTTTGTTTTTTGTTTTTTTTTTTTGGTCTTTTTTGTTTTTATCGGTACCAGGGATTGAACTCACGACTGCCTGCTTGCAAGGCAGGCACTTATGCCGCTGAGCTAAATCCCCAGCCCCGACAACATCATTTTTTTAAAAAGCGCTTTTATTTTAGCTGGCGCAGCAACACAATGCAGATGAAATTCGCAAAGCTGTGTGACTGAGTTAGAATTTTGACTGATTTTTATAGTTCATTTATGATAAGCTCATTGATCATTAAGTACATAGTTATGAGAAACAGAAACAAGGTGGGCCTTTGTTCCCTTTTGCTTGAGGTCAGAGACATTTCACAGTGGGTGGTTAGCCAATTAATAGCCCTTGGTCTGCCAATTCCAGAAACATTTGTCTCTCATAAAGGGAACATTGGTTGACACAACATCATTTGTCTCTTACAAGTGGAACAAAGTTTGAGACAGCAAACAGCTTACTCAGGGATGATGCACACAGAATAACATGACCACACAGTCAATTAATCTATAACTGTGTGGTTGGAGCATGGTTACTGGTTAATGAGCTCAGCACAGAATGACAATACTGCTAATAACTATCTTTTTAACTACCTATTTTTGCAAATAATTATCTTTTAATTAACTATTTTATTTTTTCAGCATTTTAGTACAACACATATGTTGCCATGTTGTTTTTCAGTTTCAAGTTTCTCTCATCTTTATCAGTGTGTGTTTGGTCAGAACACTGTATTTATCTCTCAGAAAGCTTCCCTTTTTGTAGTCAGCAGAACATTTCCTGTGTCTAAAATATGCAGTGCAGAGGATAAAGAAGATTTTAGATGAGAAATTCCAAACCAACAGAAGTGTATTAAAACTGCATTGCTGAAGATTTCAGTCATCAAAATAACTTTGCTATTCCTTCATGCTCTATGGCTTGATATTCTGATATTGGCTATGCATTATGAATGAGAGCAAACAGGGAATATGTATCCACTCACAGTGTAGAAATTGTAACTCCTAGTGGAAACACATGTCATAATATTTGAAAGGGGATTAGACAGTCTACAATTGCAGGTTATCCACAATCAGCAGATACTTTGCTATCATTACTAATATTGTTAGTAGTATAAAAAACATGGAAAGATAAGGTAGCAATATATGTTAAAGAGACACAGAGTAGCAATCAATCAATAATTCTTGCTCATTATTAAATATTTTAATGAATATAATTTTTGTCACTTTATAGCTTGTGTTGTTTTTAAAATATACAATCTAAGAGCCTCTAGGGTGAATGTTTGTGTTGTAAATGACATTTTGACATTCCCGATTCTAACCAAGTATGGTATTTATGATGAATTATGGGGAAATCAAAACTGAATAAGAAAAAAGAGAAGTCAAAGTGGTATAGGGGAATGAAACTCCTGACCTACTATATGTCCAAAATGAGTTCATGTTCTCTAAAATCAAAGAATGAATTTTAGAAACAATGGAGGTTAAGAGAAGACATGTTTATTGTAAGAAGGAAAGCTTCTGTATGAGAGAGAGACAAAGGAGGTCCTGGGTGGGTTGCCAAAGAATCTGTATTTTCTCAGGATTTTTATATAGTAAAATCATGAAGTGAGGAGGTCTAAAGTTGGTCTATAGCTGGGAAAGTTGTAACTTGCAAGGCATATGGGAATGAACTATGGTCCACCAGTAAGTTTAATTGTAAGAGAAAGGATTTTGCCCTGGATGAAAAGCTGCAGAGGTGGGAGGCTGGAAGGTAGAACCAAGAGGCTCTATTTTGGGGTCATCTTCCCCTCCCCTAAGCAATTTACCTGTGGCATGAAATTAATTCCAATGGCCTATCTATGCACCAGTAATGCCCCTTAGGCACCACCCCAAACCTAAGCTATATTTATGCCCCCACATCACGTGTCTGGCAGAGAGAATGCCAGACCCCAGAGGTCATGGAGTCTCTCTCACATTCTTAAAATAAATGCCACTTTTATTTCATATTTCTTATCTTTATATCCATGTTGAAAATTCTATCAGTAAAGTAAAATTGACCAAATCATGGACAAATGGAGAAGTGAGTCATGTCAGTGACTCCTCCTATAGGGGATTTGGATGGTGACTCCTGGCTTCTCAAAGTGATCCAGATTTAATCCTTAAGGATTATACTTAAGGGTGTACTTGCATTTGGTTTTCCTTGTGTTTTGACATCTGGTCCACAACAAGAGGTATGTGTCCCCTCCAAGATCCTCTATGTGGTCTTCTTCAAGGATCTAGCCCTGTATGACTACCTATAATATTTCTGACTAGCTCAGTTGCCTGTAACAAAAATGCTAGCAGTAGATTGTGCACCCTCAAATATTTGTTGTGCTGATCAATATTTGGACTTAGACTTGCAGTAAACATTACATATTGATTCTCTGCTTTCACTGAGAATTCAAAATCAAAAGGAATTTATTTGCTTTTTTGGCTCTGAATAATATATAGGAGTGTGTGTGTGTGTGTGTGTGTGTGTGTGTGTGTGTGTTTGATTCTGTATTCTCCTATGTGCAGAAAATAAAATTTGAAATTTTTATGATTTAAGCATAGTTTTCTGTTAACATATGTTCATAAAGAACAAATGACAGATTTTTTAAGCAGTCAGTAAAAAATGGTTAACTTTCAGTGTTTGAATATGCTTAAATATTACTAATTTACTGTCATAGAAGTAAACTGATGAAGACCATATTATACATTTTTTCTAATTATAGCATTGAAGGCCACCCTAATTATCCATTTGCTGATGAATATTAACATGGGACCTTTGTCATGAGTACTGGCAGAAATTCCTTTTCATGAAATATGATACAGAATACATCTGAGGTGTTGCTGCTCTGACTCATCCTGGTCAAACCATGCTGATTAGCAACTCTCCTAGATTAGATTAAAAAGGGACTAAACTAGCATCAGATTTTTGAAAACAATATAAAATCATTTTTTCTAAAGGTTCTTGCTTTGTGCTGTTTCTGTTATTTGCATGGCATGTTTACTTTGAAGTCATTATGGCTAGAAACAGACTTGGCTGGAGATCTTTGGGGAAAACTATTTCAGAGGATGGTAATGGGTCTCACAGCAGGTTCTGTGGAGGTAGGAATTGGCAGGTATTCATCAGACACTTTTACTTCAGCCCATGGAGTAATGACAAAACACAGTGCATCTAATTTATTGTCCATGTCTGGAAGGTGAAGCACATATGACAAGGGTGACAAGGGCCTACTGCGCCTCAACTATCACAGCTTCTGAAACAGGGGAATCAGGGGCATGGTGGGGGCTGGAAGGGTCCTGAAACAGGAAGCAGACTGAAAATGTGATTCATAATCGATGGAGGAGACAATGAGGAAGGAGCTGAGCACACCTTTGCTTGGAAAGTAATGTCAGATGTTCTTCTGATAATTGTATTCTGCAGATGAAAAGGAAATTTTTACATACTTTTATCTCCTGACAGAACTGACACATTACAGAATTTGTTAGTCAGTAACGTCAGTAAACTGACTCCTCATAGAACAACAGAACTCAGCAAGCATGAGTTAGGAAAATGCAGGGTGCCCTGATGAGTAAGCTGGGATAATAGCATCACCAGAAAACCTGGAACTATGCCACATTATAAAAGTTGGAAAATACTGGAGTCAGTCATTGTGCAGTGGTACTATGGAATCTTTTGAATCCCTTGAAAACAGCATATAGATGGATGTAAGCAAAATATTAGGAAAGAATCTTCAAATATAACTGGAAAAGTGAAGCAATTGCTAGACACTGGGTAGTAAATATTACAGAAATTCTGATGAAAGTCACCTGTTAAAATCTGGCATGTCCAACCCACTATCAGTGGGCCACATGTATCCTTGGGCAGCTGGAGAAGTCCAAGGTCCCATAAAGCCCCATAAGACTGCAAACTTTTAATATTATCATGTAATTGCTAGTGATATTTTTGATGACTAGATTTCATGGTGCTTGAACAAAGTAGGCACAACAGACTATATTATAGGGGATGACCCAGTGTACTGGTAATTGACCTCCTGCATATACCTCATAGACAATCAAAGTGAAATATGTGTTCCAGGTGTTACAAATACTTGGAGTTTGAACTTGAGTAAAAAATGTGACAGTCACAGAGAGTAGTATCTCAATCTACCTTTAAGTGCATTAGAAGATAGGAATTTGTTTTTTTAAGCAGACTTGTAAGTTTTATTAACTATTATGCTTGAGCTTGTGTCATTCTCTAAACAGAGTTTAACTGCAGAATCACACACAGCTGCTGAATCCACCTTACTCTCAAAGCAGTTTTCCTGAGTAACCAATTTCAAATGAAAGGGCCACTATGTTGGTCCACATAGCAGTCCAGTTTCCACAACATAGAATTCTTAGAATGTGCATGACAGTGAAAACCCTAGGTAAAATCAGCAAGACCAAGAGGCGGGAGTAAACCTCTTTTCCTCCCTTATACTGTAGGTAGGCTACTACCACTCCAGGGAGGATGTAGCACTCATATCATCTCCCTGTTCTCCTTTTGTACAGGCTCAGGGTGTTTCCAAAGTGAGGACTCAAGTGACTTTCTGAGTTGCTTAGTTAAACTGAATTTCCCAATCTGACACTATGAATAATATTGATCAGTAAGGACTTGTCTTCCACACCTAAGGATGTAGAGCTGTTGAATTATTTACCTAAGCATTTAGATTTCTCCAGTTGACACAATGTATCAACCACAACAACACAGAATTTCTTATCTGAGAAGTGAAATGATTTTTCTGGCTGTATCTGGCCATGTGGTTCAAAAGCCTCTGGGAATGGCTTGTGGAAATCATTTGGAAAGCTTTGGAAATGTTTTCTGAGAGAGTAGAGTTAGAATGCCTTAGGCTATTCTGTATGGGAGATTATGGTCAGGGTTCCTAAGATCAGAAGGCTGATAGGAATCCTGCCAGTAAAGATTAGGCTTGGGAGTATTCTGGTGGGAAGAAGAATTGCATTTGATTTTGGCCTCCAGGTGATGTGTGTTAAGGCTTGGCATATAATTTATCTGCATTGTGCCCATGTCCAGAGAATTTGCCTGAGATTGTAATTAAGCATGGTAGACAAATTAATCTGGCAAAAGAAACTTCATGGCAGTCAGACTTTCGGTGTTGGCATGACTATTGTTGAGCGCTTTTAGCTATATTTGTGCTGCAAATCAAGAGCAAATACCCTAGTGGGATGATTTAAAATGTTATGTTAGGCCACAAAGGTAATTTCAGTAAATCTGTGAATTGCAAAGATGGAGCAGAGAATATCTCTGTTGCTACAAAGGATAGGGACAATGGAAAAGATGACCTGGGGCATCACAGGAAGCAGTAAATTCCCACCCTTTGTAACCTCAAGACAGCAAAAGTGAAAGATATTGCATTGAGAAGAAAGTCACAAAGCACCGTGTTCCAGCATCCTGGGAGCATAGAATTGTTCCTCAGAATTGGATTCACAGTGCCTAGTGACCCAGATAACAGGTTCCTACAGCCAAGAGAGAGGAAAGCCTGGCTACTGCTCCAGCTGACAGCAGACCCTTTACATTATCATGTGTATTTGATAGTTGCATGCAGAATGCAAGAATTATGGTGTTAAGAAGGCTTTCATCCTGAATCTCAGTAGTGTGCCCCTGAGAGGGTAGAGTATGAAGCAAAAGGTGCAGTGGAGACCCCAGGAGTTTGGAAAAGCCAGGAACATGACTCATCTAATGAAGCTGAAAGGAGAGAGCAAAGCATGCCTAAGAGAGAAGCCATGGGAGCTACAAGCACCAGAAGTGCTCAGAGGAGGAGCAATGAAAACTCTTTGGAGCTCATGATGTACCACAGATTGCCTCAGATGTTGGACATGGAATTATAGGACTCTATATTTGCCTTGATGGATTTTGGACTTGCTTTGATCTAATCCTTTGTTTGATCCTCCTGTTTGTACTTTTCAGAATGAAAATGTCTATCTTTTGTCATTGCATGTTAGAAGTATTTAACTTGATTTTTATTTCTACAGAAGCTTGCAGCTAAAAGTTGGCCCTTATATCTCAGAGAAGACTTGGGATTGAACTTTTTAGCAGTGCTAAAAGGACTAAGTATCTCTTGCATAAAGGGATGTGCATGAATCTTTCAGGAGACAGAAATGAAATGCTATGGTTATTATGTAATATAATGTGGATAGACTTCATACTGGTTCCTAATTATTGTTAAGCCTGTGTTGTGCTGTTCAAGTTGTGAAATGATCAGCATAAGCATGTCTTTGAATCTGGAGACCAGTTTAAAGAAGTGTGTCTGATTGCCAAATTGACAAGAGGTGAATTGCAATGGGATATACACTGTGTCAACTTGAGAAGTTTAGAGGTTTAACTAAGCAGTGCAGCAGGGCACCAGGGTCCTTGGTTTTTAAACATCCTCATCCTGTGCAAGATGAGGTCACAGAGATAGTGTGAGTGCTACATACACCTGCCTAAGAGGGTGGCAGCCTGCTTACAGTATAGGGCACAAAAAGAAGCTTGCTCTTTCCCCTTTTTGCTCTTGCTGCATTTGCTGTCTTCTGCCACTTTGAACTGTTGTCCCTGTGCTATGTCACCTTGCCTTTGAGCTAGCTGATCACGTACTGAAACCTAAGTGAACTTTTCCTTCCTTAACTTGCACTCTCAGGTATTTTGCCTCATCAACTAGAGAAAAGTAACTAAGACAATCTCCATACTTGCCTTCAAAGCAGGCAGATGCTGGCATGAATGCAGCTCTCTTATGCTGCATATGACAACTAGAGAAATTAATTGTCAATTGTGACACATCACATTTTGCTGCTTCCTTTCTTCACTGTTAGGAGGTCCAGCTCCTGACTGCTTTCAAATCAGCAGACTTTAGTGCTACCAGTTCCACCTTCAGGGTGCTCTCTTTGGGGCAGTGATATGTAATGCTAGCAGCTCTGACTGTGTGTACTGAGCTGATGGTCCCACATGACAAAAGAGGAGATTAGGAGAGTTTTTGTTGTGAATAATAGAAAGAAAAAAAGCTCCTGGTTTTCCTGGAGAAGTCCTGAGTGGGTGCCCACATAACTATTTGTGGGAAATCCTGCAATTGTCCATCATTTTATGTTAAAAAATAATGGGCATTTTAATGTTAAGTTTCTATTTAGTAGTTAAGTTTCTATCTTTCCTCACCTAGCCTGTCACATCTCCCTGTCATTTGGCCCATACAGCAAGCATGCTCATTATCTTGATTCATGGGCCCCTGAGCAGGAGACTCAAATTACCCTATGCTCCCTCACCCCAGCCTCGGCCTCCTTAGAACTTCCTGCTGTTGCTAAGTTAGCTGCTGATGTGTCAGAACTCAGGCCCTACCCCAATACCCTATATATTTGTTACTTTTTCCTTGAATAAGGGAGACTTGATTGGACTTCTGACTTGTTTCTACTCCTTGCATCTCTTGTTCCCTCTCATCCCCACCCCCCCTATAGGATCTCCATGGCCTTCCCGCAGGCCAGGACAAGAAGATCCCCAATGTGGGACCTGAGAATGGGGGACTTCGTGAGGGAAGCTATTTGTGGGCCCAAAGTAGAAAAAAGAAAAGGAAATAGAGGACCTGGCAACATGGGAGCCTGCCATGCTGCTAAACCTTGGTAAGTGAAGAGAGATTATGGAACAAGAAATGAGCCAGCATGAGATTTTTGTTGTAAATTTAGGAAAGGCTTTAAAGGCACAGTAAGTAAAGGTTAAAATTAAGCAGTTATGTCAATATTTTGATTTTATAAAGGAAGTTTTTCCCTGGTTTCCTATTGAAGGGACGATCGATTCCAAACAATGGAATCCACACTTAAAGATTATTATGATGTTTTTGGACCTGAAAAGGTCCCAGTAACTGACATTTCTTACTGGGGTTTAATAGATGAAATCTTGTCTCAGAGACAAAGTGACCCAATAGTTGCTAATGTTGTTCAAAAGGGTGAAAATATATTAAAAGGAGAAAATCTTAAAGGCAAAACTGAACAAACTGAAGGGACCGAGAGACCTAACAAAAAGGATGATCTCATGTCATTTGATAGTGATAGTGAGGAGATAAAAGGTGCTTTGGAGAACAAAGACAAAGGGAGGCAGACAAGACTGATATGCTTTCAAGGCAAAAAACCCAATCTCTATGACCTAGAGCCAGCCCAGCCAAAAAGCAAACTTTACCCTGACCTACCTTTAGAGGCTAAAATAGAGGATGTTGATGTGGATTGGGATAGTTTAGCAGAAGAGGCCGCAAAATACCATAGTCATAATTGCCCAATTATCACCCAACCCCTCAAGACTTAGCACCCTGCAGCTCCACCCCACACCCCAAATGGCCAGCGCAGACAAAGCCCTTAGCATGGCCTTCACTGCACGCCCTCCCCCATATTGTAACAGTCCCACTGCTCCTGCTTTGGTATGTTTAACTTTTGATCCTAGAAATCAATTAAGAGACCAAATTGAGCTTTTAAAAAACAGATTGAACTAGAGAAAGAAGTTCAGGATTTAATAGCCCAATTAGAAAGGCTAAAAATAGTGAAGTCCAAAGTAAATAGTGAAACAAACCCCAGAATTTCCTCTGGGATTTCTCCTGCTCACACACACACAGACACACACACACACACACACACACACACACACACACAGACACACACACACACACACGGTGGGGGGCATGATTTCTAAGTTTACCTCCTGGCTTGATGCCGTATTTGGAGCTAGATGTTTTCCCGGTGACTGAAACAAGGAATGCAGAAGATCAGCCTGTCCACAACTACACTGGCTTCAACTTCAAACAGTTAAGATTTGAAAGCAGCAGTGGCACAGTATGGGGCCACAGCCCCATATACCCTTGCTGTCTTGGATTCCTTGGCAGACAATTGGCTTATACCTATACATTGGCAAGGATTGGCCCAAGCAACCTTATCAAAAGGGGACTATCTTTTGTGGAAATCAGAATATATAGAGAGAATTGCAGAGACTGCCAGGTGCAATGCATAAGCCAGCGATGATATGTTATCAGGAGATAGCCCATTTGATATGTTATCAGGAGAAGGCACGGATGCAGATAAAAATGCACAAATGCAGTTCAATCCAGTGCTTTTCACTCAAATTCAAATGGCAGCTCCTTGAGCATGGAATAAACTGTCTTCAAAGGGCCATGTGAGTTCCACTCTCACAAGCATTAAGCAAGAGCCTGATGAACCTTTCTCAGAATTTGTTGATCATTTGGTTACTGCTACTTGCTGAATCTTTGACTAAGCTGATGCAGGCATAGATTTTGTAAAGCAATTAGTTTTTGAAAATGCTAATGCAGCCTGTCAGGCTGCTATTAGACCTCATAAAAACAAAACTGACCTGACAGGATATATACAACTTTGCTCTGACATTGGAACTGCTTACCAGCAAGGCCTTGCTATGGCTGCTGCCTTGCAAGGGTTTATAATTAAAACAATTCTTATCTCAAAAGCATAAACAAAAATGTTTTACCTGCAGAAAAACGGGTCATTTTGCAAAGAACTGCAAAAAAGACTCCAGAAAATAGAGATTCCAATGTCAATGCAAAAGCGAGAGCACCAGGATTATGCCCAAGATGTAGGAGAGGGTAGCATTGAGCTAACAAATGCAAATCTAAAAGGGATGTTAATGAAAAAGAGTTGCCTCCATTGCAGGGAAATGGGAATCTGGGCCAGCCTCAGGCCCCCAAACCCAAACAAATCTTTGGGGGGGTCAGCTTTGTTCCAGCAAACAGCAATCCATTTCAGACCTCTCTAGAGCCACAACAGGGAGTGCAGGATTGGACCTCAGTTCCACACAGTACTAACCCCTGAGATGGAGGTCCAGGCCCTCCCTACAGAAATTTTTGGGCCCTTACCAAAGAATACATTTGGCCTTATAATAGGGCACAGCAGCACAATGCTTAATGGACTACAGGTTTTTCCAGGCATAGTTGATAATGATTATTCTGGAGAAATAAAGGTCATGGCATCCTCACCTAAATACATTACTACTATCACTAATGGACAAAGGTTCGCTCAGTTAGTACTCTTGCCTCTAATTCAAACCCCTAATAAAATAACCTCCTAACATCAAGGTGATAAAGGATCTGGATCTTCAGATGTCTAATGGGCAGAAGCAATTTTCACTCAGAAATCCCTTATGTCATTATGGCTGGATGGTAAAAAATTCTCTGGCCTTATATATACAGGCGCAGATGTCACTATTATAAGAAAGGAAGACTGGCCTCTGACTTGGCCCATAGATATTACCATGACTCATTTAAAAGGCATAGGTCAAAGCCAAAACCCAGAGAGAACTTCAAAACTCCTGACCTAGAAGGACAGAGAGGGCAATCAAGGCACAATACAACTATATGTCATAGCTGGATTACCAATAAATCTTTGGGGTAGAGATCTACTGGCACAAATGGGCTAATTATGGGTAGCCCAAATATCATTGTCACTGTTCAAATTTTAAATAGTGGATATTCACCTGGTATGGAAAAAATAATACAGGAATGACAGAGCCCATGGAGACTATACCAAAGACAGACTGAGCCGGTTTGGGCTATTTTCTGTAGGGGCCATTGACTCCTGTGATCCATGCACAGAAAATCACGTGGCTGTCAGAAGAGCCTGTATGGGTTGATCAATGACCTCTCACCTCTGAAAAGTTAGTGGCTGCACAACAGCTGGTGCAGGAACAGCTTGAAGCAGGCCATATAGTTCCTAGTAATTCCCCATGGAATACTCCCATCTTTGACATTAAAAAGAAATCAGGGAAATGGCGATTGCTACAAGACCTTACAGCAGTAAATAAGACTATGGTCATTATGGGAGCCTTACAGCCAGGCCTCCCTTTGCCTGTTGCTATACCTGTTGCTATTTTAAAATTATCATAGATCTCAGGGATTACTTTTTTATTGTCTCCCTACATCTAGATGATCAAAAATGCTTTGCTTTTAGCTGGCCAGTCATTAATTTTAGAGCACTCATGCAAAGATTCCAATGGTGGGTCCTCCCACAAGGAAGGGCAAATAGTCCTACCCTATGCCAGTTTTTTGTTGCTTCAGCAATACATTCTGTGAGAGACCACTGGCCAGAAATATATCTCATTCATTATATGAGTGACATCTTGATAGATGGAAAAAATGGGGAAAGTGTTTTAAGATGCTATGATGCGTTACAGGCTCCCTTACAGGATTAAAGGACTTGAGATAGCCCCTGACAAACTTCAGCTCACCGAACCATATACATAGTTGGGTTTTCAGATGAGGGAATCTCAGATTTCTTCTCAGAAGATACAGCTGAGGCTAGATAAACTTCAGACTTTAAATGATTTTCAAAAACTTCTTGAGGATATTAACTGGCTCATGCCCTACTTAAAAATTAGTAAGAGTGAATTAAAACCCCTCTATGATATCTTACATGGTAATCCTGACCTTATATTCCCTTGCAAACTCTACCCAGAAGGAAAGCAGGCAATACATGCTGTTGAGCAGGCCATTTGATCCCAGACCATTACCTTTATAGATTATGATAAACCCTTAAAATTTATCATATGCAAGACTACTCTCTCTCTAATCGCTGTCTTCTGGCAGACAACAACATTAATGTGGGTTCATTTGCCAGCAACACTTAAAAAGGTCATTGAACCCTATTATCAGGCTACATCTACCCTCATTGTCTTGGGAAGAAAACTAGGAAAATGTTATTTTGGTAAGGAGCCAGATATTATCATACTGCCTTATACCAAAGAATAGATTGATTGGCTCATGCAAACAACTGAATTCTGGTCCATTGCCCTTGCCTCCTACACAGGGTTTATAGACAACCATTATCCCCCAGACAAGCTTATCAAATTTGCCAATAGGCATGCATTTATCTTCCCTATGGTCACGATATTCAAACCATTAAAAAATGCTTTATTAGTATTTACTGATGGCTCCTCAACTGGCTTAGCAGCCTATGTTTTTCAAAACCAAATTTTATCCTTCCAAACAAACAGTACATCAGCCCAGATCACAGAGTTGCATGATGTCACTGCAGCCCTTTCCGCATTTCCCAATCAGCCTATAAATTTATATACTGACAGTGCTTATATTGCACACTCTGTGCCCCTGCTAGAAACAGCTGGTCAAATAAAAAATGCCTCCCATACTGGAGATCTGTTTAGGCAAATACAGATGCTTATTATAAAAAGAATGTGCCCTTTTTTTATCGGACATCAACGTGCTCACTCTGGGTTACCAGGATCTCTGGCCAATAGTAATCATGCAGCAGGCCTGGCCACTCAATCACAAGCACAAGCTCTTCTTTGTACTTTAATATTAGCTCCAATGATTACTATGACAATGTTACTTCAGCACAAAAAAGTCATCAATTACACCATCTCAATGCCCAAACCCTCTGGCTTATGCACAAGATCCCTAGAGAACCAACCAGACAGATAGTAAAAAATTGCCCCTTCTGTGTCACACACCTCCCAGTTCCACACCTTGGAGTTAATCCTAGAGGACTTATTCCCAATGCACTATGGCAAATGGATGTCACCCACATTCTTGAGTTTGGCAACCTTAAATATGTTCATGTAACTATAGATATCTTTAGCGGTTTCATTTATGCCTCTCCCCAGACTGGCAAAGTCACCAAACATGTTTTTAGCCACATGTTAAATACCTTATCAGTTTTGGGATGCCCACAGCAGTTAAAAACTGGTAACGGCCCAGGCTATGCCAGTTCTACTTTCACCCATTTCTGTCAACATTTTAATATTCATCATATAAAAGGTATACCTTATAACCCTCAAGGTCAAGGCATAGTTGAAAGGGCACATCTCTCCTTAAAACTCACAGTTGATAAAATAAAAAAGGGGGAATGGTACCCCCACAAGGGGGTCACCTAAAAATATTCTATCTCATGCCTTATTCATTCCTAATTTTTTAAATTTGTATGCCACTGGACAATCAGCAGCCACCCATTTTTGGCATACTGAAACACAAAAGCAATTTGCTTCTGTACTATGGAGAAACTCCCTGACTAACTCATGACATGGTCCAGAGCCAGTCCTTATCTGGGGACAGGGATCAGTATGCATATATTCTAAAGAGATGAAATCTGCAAGATGGTTATCAGAAAGATTGGTTAAACAAATAGATCAAGTGTAACCAAATGAGGATAATATTATGGATGACTCCAGGGATGATAATGCCCCCTGAGAAATTCTTACCATCTCTTGTTTTTCAGATGATGAAATTGAAAATCTGGATCCTACCACTGGGAATTTTTATGGCCCTACTGCAGACCTCACATAGCGCCTTTGACCTCCAAAAAGCAAAGAACAAATATTAAAGCAATTGTATGATAACCCCTGTGACTGCAGGGGATGTTTTACCCATGATAAATATAACAAAGGCCTTGCTTTGCATGTCATGGGAGATACAGCCAATCTTATGGTACACAAATAGGCAATACCAAAGTATACACATATTCTCAACAGACAGATTGTGGAGACAAGATAGCATACCTTACTGCCCACCCAACTGTCACAGGCAGAATGTGCCAAAGTTGGAGGTATGGAAGAGTATGGAGGAGTTGTGAAGTTCACAAACCCAACATCAATGTCAGAGGTATCATTATGAAAACTGGGTATCGTGTGATACCTAGTGTCAATGGCCACCTGGGGCCATGCCCTGAAATATGTCCTTACAAAATGGAGATGCATTCTTCCTGCTATGACTCAGTGCAGGAGTGCATGGGAAAAGACAATAAGATTTATTTCACTGCTGTGTTTCAGAGACCTAATGCTGGAAGTTTTGAGGGCAAGGGGCCCGGCATCCCACAGGTCCTTGGAAATTCAAAATGTGCCCAGGCCTCATGCAGCAGTGCAATTAGTAGCCCGGTGTACTGGAGCAAGTTAGCCCCAGTACATTTTTCAGATGGTGGTGGACCCAAGACAAGGTTAGAAAACTTCAAGTACAAAAATCCATAGAGCAAATTATAGAACAAAAGTTCCCCAAGATAAATTATCATTCACTGGCTCTCCCCAAGTTGAGATGTGTAGAGCTAGATACCCAGACCTTAGATATCATAGAAGCCACTTATATAGCCCTTAAAGTTTCTAACCCTGATTTGGCTAAAGACTGTTGGCTGTGCAGACAATGGGTGTGACCCTAGGCACACCCATTTCCCTTGCTATTACCTCAGATTCTGTCCCACATAACTTTGTAAATCTTAACTGTAGTGCCAGCCTCCCCTTCACAATGCAGCCTGTAGGTTTCAGAGATTCTCCCTGCTTTCAAGGAAGTTTTCATGACGATACCTCTGACATTGATGTTGGGTTTGTGAACTTCACTAACTGCTGTTCTATAATTGACTAGACTACCCCTCTTTGCATGACTAGGGGACATGTATTTGTCTGTGGAGGAAACATGGCTTTCACATTTCTGCCTGCCAATTGGACAGGGTTTTGTGTCATGGCTACCCTACTACCTGACATAGATGTTATATCTGGAGTTGAGCCTGTTCCCATTCCCAGTCTTGATTACATTGCAGGCCTTACCAAGAGAGCAGTGCAGTTTATTCCCATGCTGATAGGACTAGGGATTTCAGGAGCCCTAAAAACAGGTACTACAGGACTAGGAGTCACAGTGCATTAAACAACAAACTTTTCAATCAGCTTATTGATGATGTTCAGGCATTGTCTAGTACTATTCAGGACATTCAAGATCAAGTAGATTCATTAGCTGAGGTAGCTCTTCAAAACAAAAGAGCGTTAGACCTCCTAACAGCAGAGCAGGGAGGGATCTGTTTGGCATTGCAGGAATGCTGCTGCTTCTATGCAAACAAGTCTGGCATTGTTCAAGACAAAATTAAGAAACTGCAAGAAGTTCTGGTAAAAAGGAAAAGAAAGCTATTTGAAAACCCTCTCTGGAGTGCCTGGAATGGAATCCTGCCTTATCTCCTTCCCTTGCTCAGACCATTGCTAGCACTGTTAATTTTACTTTCATTAGACCCTTTTCTTTTTAATAAATTGATGGCTTTTGTCAAACAACAGGTGGATGCCATAAAAATGTAATCTATACAGGTCCATTACCACAGATTTGAAGTAGCTGATAGAGAAAATTACATGGAGCTGCAAAACTGTATTATGATAATACTTTGTGAAAGCATGCTGCCCACTCCATTTCTCTTACCTTGGTGAGATAGACTAGATAGTCAGAGATGGGAAACTGGACCTCACAGGTGCTAACCACCTGCCGCCTAAGAGAGAAGCTGGGCCTGATGCTGCCCTGCCTCCAATGACGGGTAAGACAAAATTGGACCCATGTGAAAGAGTCCTGATCCAAGACAAGCACAGTCTCCTCAAGGATGCAGCCTCTTATAAGCCACTTATATTTTAAAGTAAAAGGGGGCCTGTGGGAAACCCTGCAATTGGCCATCATCTTATATTAAAAAGACAACAGGCATCTTAAATTTAAGTTTCTATTTAGTAGTTAAGTTTCTATCTTTCCTCATCTAGCCTGTCACATCTCCCTATGGTTCAGCCCATTCAGCAAACATGCTAATTAATCTGATTTATGGGCCCTCACAGAGGAGACCCAAATTACCCTATAGCCCCCTGCCCACTTCATTAGAACTTCCCGCTGTTGCTAAGTTATCTGCTGACATGTCAGAACCCAGCCTCTTCCCCAATACCCTATATATTTGTTCCTTTTTCCTTGAATAAATGAGACTTTATCAGACTTCTGACTTGTCTCTATTCCTTTCATCTCTTGTTCCCTCTCCACTCCACTTCCCTCACCACTCCCCCTATAGGGTCTCCGTGGACTTACCTGCAGGCCAGGACAGCTATTCAATTCAGAGATAATAATACATAAGCTATGGTCACCTATCACAAATGGCTCTGTGGATTTAAAATGACCAATAGGTACTCAGGCTTTTGAGGGTTTACAACATGTAGGGTATAAAGGAAGTGGTGCTCTTAGAAAAAACTGATTGATTTATGTTAAAATTTCCTTGAACCTCAGGATTTAGTAATGATTAATTATACCTCTTTCTTTCTTTTTTAATTATATCTCTCTTTAGGAGAGAGTGGGCTACATTCCATGCTGCCTGAGGAAGTTCATTCTTGGTCCAAAGACCTACTTCTCTGTCTATTCTTATTTTAATTCCCATCAATATTACTGATTACCAATTTGGACATTCTATTTTCAGTAAATCCATTCAGTCATACCCAGAACTATGCTAAATCATAGTTGGATATTTCTTACCCAAGTTACAAAATGATTAACTACAACACATGAGTACTGTCAGAATTTCTATCATGGGTAGATGACCATACACAGACCTTATACAGGAAGATTACAAGGAATCAGTCATTCAGAGTATATTTATAGTATGGCATCCAGGGATAGTACACTATTCAAAAATTGCTAAAGCAGAGCAATTAACGTCAAGAGTGTCTAAGGGTAACATAATCGTGTTTGGCTCAGCCATGGCAGAAAAATCAGAAATTGACTTTCAGGGATATCAGGTTATTTTTCCTCTGCCTCAGTGTGACCCATCTAAAATGACTTCCAGTTACAGCTTCCTGAGCAAGCATGGAAAAGGGCAGAGAACACTCTTAATTTGGCATGCTATGCAGTTCCCATGACTTTTAGTTGTTTACAATATGTTTCTGGATGGTTCTGAATATTATACTAGTTCAATTTACGGAACTGTCATCATTTCACCAATAACTGCTTGAGTGGGTGTACCCCTTACTCTGTTATATCTTGCACTTGGTTTGGGCATCTCTGTTTCTCTCATTCTTCCATTATGGAAAATCTCTAGGTTTCAGCAAGTTCATTTCACTCTTCTGTTGAGTTTATCACCACTTACTTTAGTAAGCAGCTACCTATCTTTTGATGAGGTTCCGTTTTCAGAGAATTAAGTGAGTTCTGGAAGACATTAATTCACCATCTTAAAACTTCAGACTCAAAAATATATGAAAAGTTACACTTAAATAAAAGAAGAGGGACTTGTTCTTTTAACACACATATGTGTATGTTGTAGCTTGTCCAAGAATAGATTAATGGCATGATGAACTTTCATTTCATTTAATTTTTAACTTAATTTCAATACTTAAACTTGTGTAAGGAATGTAGAGTTCAACAAATAAAAGGAGATAGTCCTAAAGATTGCACCTTTCATGAATTGACAACTTGATTAATGAAAGTGTGGCAAAATACATTTAGAGAAGCAGAACTGTGTGGTATGGAATATGTCAAATCAAGTTTCATGGATAAATCACAGATGGATAAGTAGTACATATGAGAGTAGTGATCTGTTGTGTGCTGCAAATATGAATGTAAACTCTTAGAAAGGTGAGGCCTCAGCATGAAAGAGGGAAGGTTGTGTCCTGGAGTAAGCTTGAAGAAAAAGAATATATCAGGAAGTGAATAAATTAGTAAGACTCCACAGGGGAACACTTTATTCATGTGATTTCCACTATTTTATATGAAAGACTTCCAAGAGATATGGATTATTGATATAAATATTCTATGTCTATATCAAGGATCAAAAAGATTTTAAAGAAACAGTAATTGCTGCATTTTCTTACACATAATGCTTATAACTATTCCTATTAGAAAGTTTAGAAAACTAAGAGTAAGTTGTACCAAATTAAAAAACAGCATCAAATTTGTTAATTTCTATGGCAAATTGAGTTGAATTCCACTTATTGCATCTGAAAAAATACTAACTCAAAAGAATTTTTCAGCAGCACATGTGTTAGTAAGAGGTAAAGTCTTGCAAGAGCAAATGGATCTCTGGAGGAAGCCTTTGGAGTATATCTCTGTCTGTGTCTTCATCACCCACTGCTTTTTTTTTCACCAACTGCTTTCTATCATGTACTAAATGTAGAATCCAAAAAGGTAGTGATTTCCCCCCTCTAAGCATCCATATATTCAAGTTTATTATTTTGCACTCATAATCATTTCTTAGTCATATCTTATAGCATTGGAGAGACCTTCACACTGATGATAGTACTTTAGTCTAAATCCGAATGTGGGAAGCACTTTCCATTTGACAAAATCATCATATACAATTTGCTGGTTAGTTCATGAAGTTCAGCACAAATTATATAGTTGTTTTCATCTAAAACATTTGCATTCTTTAATTTCTCCCAGTTTGTGCAACTCTCTTTCATTTTCTTTTCCTTTTTCTTTTTCCTTTTCTATTTTTTTTTTTTTTTTTTTTGGTACCAGGGACCGACCTCCTGATCAAGTGCTTGTAAGGCAGGTGCTTATGCTGCTGAGCTAAAAACCCAGCCCTCAACTCTCTTTCAAACAGAAGTAGTCTGATCAGGCTTGGAAATGTCCCAAAAAATGTCAGCTGAAGAATACTAATTTCTAAAATAACTATTTTGAAATACCACTGAAAGTGACCAAACTGGATGATATAGTATATTTCTTTTCTCTCACCATGGCTGTCATGTGACAGAAATAGCTAAATGCATCCTGTGCTGAGCACAGCATAGGATGAAACAGTGGCAAAGAAACCAAGTGTAATTCATGAATCTCTTTTCAATAACTCATAATGCCTTGTTCCCTACTGCTTTACTAAAACAGAAAAGAGTTCAACAACCTCGAACTTTTGTTTCAAAATATTGAAAACATAACTTTAAGGTATGCTTATGGTACTGGATCAGCTCCAATTATTTGCTGTCCTTCTTGGAGATAGTGACACACACAAGGTTTCGTGTAACTGTGATGAGCAATGCAGCTTCCTCACACAAGCCACTTCTGAGTTCCCTTCACTTCTCAAGCTGTCAAGCTGAAAGTAAACTTAAAGGGGCTGTTCTGGGTGGGGCTAAAGCTAGCAGCTTTCAATAAGGGACTTGAAAACTCTAGCTTTGAGCTGGTTTATCACAATTGGATTTTGTAGAGTACATTCAGATACAAGTGATGATATATGTAGAAGTGTTCATTTTGAATTACAAAAACATGTGAATCTAATTTGCATAATAGAAGTTGTTGTATTAGGTCAATGGAAAATCCACACGTGTACCTAAGGACTGTCAATTATTTTCAGGGATGTCAATTTGACTTCTGTTATCTCTGTTTCCACAAAGATTTTATTTATTTTGCCGTTCTACATTTCCATTGTGGGAAATTGTGGTTTGGGACAGTTGAATGCCCATAATGGAACACTGAGAGCTCTGTTCTGTCTTGCCTGATGAAATATGATTCCTGTTGCTGCCCTTGGAACAAATATCACATGGTCAGTGTACCTTCAGTGACTAGCTTTCAATTAAGGTTTTAAAGTCTTTGTAGGGAAAAAGAAAAAACAGCAGAGAAAAGAAACAACCCACAGAGAGGAAAAATTTTTTTCCAGCTTTACATCACAGAGCTAATATCTGGAATATAAGAAAAACTCACAAAAAAACAGATACTCAAATTTAAAGACACAGTCCAAAAATTGGCATCTGAGAAGAATATACATTTTTCAGATGGAGAAGTATGAATAGGAAATAAATACATAAAAAGTTTCAGCATCATTGATTTGAGAGACATATATTAAAACAATACAATTTTGATCTCTCTTCCCAAAGAATGGCTACCATCAAGAAATAAACAAATAGCAAATGTAGGAGGGGATATGGAAAGAAAGGTATACTTCTCCACTGTAACTGGGTGTATAGACTGGTGCAGCCACTGATTCTGCATCATTGTTTCCTTGTGCTTAAAGTGTTTAAAAAGTCAATTAATCTGTAAAATAAACAATTAAACAAAACTAAACTAAAATAGAGCAAGAGGTTCCATTTTATCTAAATATTCCCCCTCTTGGTATCTCCCTAAAAGAATTAAAAGCATTATACTATAGCAATATATGCACACTCATTTTTAAAGCAGCACAGATTGTGGTAGCTAAATCTTGTAAACAACCCAAATGACCATCAACTGATGAATGGATAAAGAAACTGGTTTTAAAAAAATTAACTGGGGTTGGGGATTTAGCTCAGCAGCACAAGCCCCTGCCTTATAAGCACACAGTCGTGAGTTTGATCCCTG